CTGGGAAAATTATCCAGGTAGAGCAAGCCCAGGCAGGGGTTGGCTTTGCTCTTGATCCAGCCTGGATCACTACACTTGAGCACGGGTCCCTTCTCCATGCCCTGTGCAGAGCTGCATCAGCTTCTCAGGCTGCCCTTGGGACTTTGCCAGGTGGGAATTGCAACCTCCACTCTCGTCTCATTTCTGCAAGCACAGTTTTCAAAGCAGTTCCTTTGAAAGCTTGCTTTCAGAATGGATGAGCAAGGGGTTTATTTTAGCTGTACAGTTGTGATTTTGCCTGCCCAAGGAGGGGTTGTGATTGCTGAGGGCATCCTGGCGTGGAAATCAGGGACACAGAGCAAACTGAGGTTGGGGTTAGCTGCAGGGGAAAATGCCTTGCCGAGAAAACAGGCTCTCCGCAGGGACTGGGGCAGCACTTTACGTTTGTCCCAAGCTAGGAGGTTCGGTCACAAGATGGAGCTATAGCCATGTACTTTCGAAAGGCGAGCTTTCAATAAATGACGTGCAGGCAAATGAGTGCTCAACCTCCACCACTCCGCAGGAGGTTCAGCTGGAAGAGACTTCCTTGACCCTATCTGTAGGTGGAGCTCTGCTTCACACTCCCTAAGTCGCTCAGGTCCTCGAGGACGTGATAGTAAAGAGACTGAGCAAACCATCCACCCCTCGACCATCAGAGGGGCATCAGTGGCCTTAGACAATTCAGGGGACAAGCCTGCCCATCAGGCTGACATTCCTCCTGCAGGGCAAACAGCAGTTTTGGCCAGAAAGCTGTGCTGGTGGTGCCTTTTCTTCCCCAACCGTGCCTTCCCCATGCACACCCTGCTGCAGCTCAGTGTGCCACTGGCTGCTTTTTTCTGCCATGTGGGCTGCTGGTTTGCAGGGGAGCAAAACCCCGCAGAGAATACCTGTGGGCTCCTCCTGCATGTGTTGACTTGCATCTACTTTTCTTGAAGACATATAACCCGTGCCACTGTCAGTGCCTCATGGTATTTTGAGCACAGCAGGGGAAAGCAACAACACACCACTGTATTTCACTTCTTAAGCTTTAAGAGGATGCTACCAGCTACAATGGATTTCAACACAGGGAGGGAGGGGACATGTTTTAACGAGAAGACTTTAAAAACAGACAAACTTCTGAAGCTGTGATGAAAAGTTGCACAATAAAGATGTTATATTTAAGTTCAGCATGTCAAAGAAGTGTTTGCACCCACAGTGCAGATACACTCTCCAAAGAGGAGGTAATACAGATCAGAAATGAGAATAAGGAATGCTAAATTCATTTATATTGTCCAAGTTCGATAAGAGAAGATAGCATAAAATGAAGTGGAAAGTCTTACATACTGTCAACTTAAAGTTAGGAATATAGAATTATTATAACAATTTACAACTAGGACGTCAAAATGATTGTTTGCCTGGTAGCTTCTTTTTAGAACTTTTCTAACAGTTTTGTTTGTTCCAATGCTCGTGACTTTTATATTTGAAGGTTTTAATTCAAGTGATGTATACCAGTTTTTGGCAATCCTCCCATTTTCTCAAGACTCTTTTTTTCACATACTGATACCACAGAAATCCCTATATTCCCTTTTGGTCACACATCATCTGCACTTTGCATGATTCTCAACAAGAGTAACCCGAGTAAGTAAAAATTAAAGAAATCATACCCAGGCTGGTGTGTTTCAGTTGTACTGAGTCATACAGAGGGGTCACCTCCACCCCACTGTTTGACTCAGACACAGTACATGGGCTGATTGGCATGCAAGAACTACTAGGAGCGGTACAGGGAGGTCCGGGTGTGCAAGTGACAGCTGCTCTGGCTTCCCCTCCCAGATAGATACGTCTCGTCTCAGCATACAGCCTGGTTCTTCACATGGCAGGGTGGTGAGAGGTATCACAGCTCGTGTAACCGCTTTTGACTTAAAAAGCTCTACACACACCCAGGTGGTTTTGCATCATAGAATCATTTGTGTTGGAAGGGACCTTAAAGATCATTTATTTCCAACCCCATGCCACGGGCAGGGACACCTTCCACTAGACCAGTTTGCTCCAAGCCCTGTCCAACCTGGCCTTGAACATTGCTAGAGATGTTGCAGCCCCAGCTTCTCTGGGCAACCTGTTCTAAGTCTCAATGAAGAATTTCTTCCTAGTATCTAATGTAAATATCCCCTGTTTCAGTTTAAAGCCATTCCCCCTTTTCCTATCACTACTTGCTCTTATAAAAAATGTCTCTCCAGCTTTCCTGTAGGCCCCTGTTAAGTATGGGAAGGCTGCTGTAAGGTCTCCCCTGAGCCTTCTGCTCTTGAGGCTGAACAGCTTTCTCAGCCTCTCTTCATAGGATAGATCCTCCAGCCCTCGGAGCATCTTTGTGACTCTCCTCTGGACTCATTTTTATAGCTCTATACCTCTCATGCTGGGGCCCCAGAGCTGAATGCAGTACTGCAGGTGAAGTCTCATGAGAGTGGAGTAGAGAGGGAGAATCACCTCTCTTCACCTGCTGGTCACACTCCTTTTGATGCAGGCCAGCATAGAGTTGGCTTTCTGGGCTGCAAGCACACACTGCTGGGTCATGTTGAGCTTCTTCACAAAGTGACTTTTCTTTACAAAGTGTTGTATATTAAGCTGATAGCTACTGTTAGCTCTGTATAAACAAAGCAGGAGGGAGACAAATGTAGTAAGTGACACTGGATCCCAGCACAGCAGAACAGGTATGGTCAGACCCAGAGTTGAATACCACCCTCGCAGGCCCCATCTGCAGCAGCATGGGCCCCATGAGCACTTTATTCAAGGGTTTTTTCCCCTCTGTGAATGCTGTAAAATTTGGGGTCTTGAACTTAAATATGTGTGTATGTATATATACATACACACACACACACACACACACACACACACACACACACAGATTTATCTGAGACCAGGAGCAAGTGTCTCACACATGTTCCAATTTGGTTTTGCATTTTTGAGCTTGGATTGCTCACCTTGGATTTACTGTGCATCAGTTCCTGGAAGGTGGAGTACATTGCGTCATGAGACCTTTGTATAGGGGATCATTTAATGCATGTAAAAATAAGGAAACTGATAATCTCCTTGGAATCAGGGACATTTTGACCATTGACTCAGACATAAGTAAAAAATGACAGTGGGGACTTAATAGCTTTTGGTGATTTGTCAGGTCTGAAATGTGCAATTCTCTAGACTTTTGAGGGTTTGGGTTTTGGTTTTCTTCTTCAGTGAGGAGCTAGGCCACCTTACAGTGAATATAGGCAAAGCAAGCGTGCAAGGCTGCAGGGACTTGCTTGCTGCCTCCAAGATACACTGTTCAAACACACCTCAAGCACTCATCCACACCTGAACAAAGCCCACAGCGACTGATCTCAACAGAATGAAACAGCCAAGGTCACACAAGAAAAAATATTCTAGTTACACTTCATCAGAGCTGAGCATCTGTTTCTCTTATGGTCCTGAGCAATCTGTGTTACTGCTGTGCAGTACTGCTCCAGCAAGTGGAAAAATGTGAAAGTCTCTTCTCCATCACACTGGTTTTTTACTTCCTCTTGGCAGTCAACTTTTTGGGAAATGAAAGTCTAAAATGGTGTCCCTTCGTTTTTGCTAGTGTACGAGGTGCTCAAACTGAAGGGAGTGTGCAATGACAGAGAAGTTACACACTGCACGGTCAACAAATTCTCCAAGAAATCTTTCAGCAGCAAACCTGGGGACATTTTATCACTGAAACCATGCAAGACAAGGTGTTTATGGTTCTGTCCAAAGCTCCTCTCCCCATTTTATGCAGTAACTCAAAGAAGATGCTGGGAGAGCTAAATGAACGAGGACAGAGATCCGAAGATGTCATAGTTTAACCCCAGCTGGCAACTAAGTACCACACAGGCTCACACTCACTCCCCATCCCTCCTAAATCCCTGCAGTGGGCCAGAAATGAGAATCAGAAAAAAAGGTAAAAACCCACAGGTTGATATAAAAAGTTTAATAATTGAAATAAAAGTAAATTATAGCAATACAACAACATTAGGAAATAGAGACAGAGAAGAAGGAATAAACCCCATCCTCCAAAAAAGTGATGCACAGTACAATTGCTCACTACCTGCTGACTGATACCCAGCTCAACCTGAGCAGCAATCAGTTCCTTCTGGGTAATTCCCCCAGTTTATACACTGGGCATGATGTGCCGGGGTATGGAATACCCCTTTGGCTAGCTTGGGTCAGGTGTCCTGTCTCTGCTCCCTCCCGGCTTCCCATGCCCCTTCTCACGGGCAGAGTATGAAAGACTGAAGTCCTTGATAAGGGAAAGAGCTACTGAGCAACAACCAAAACATCGGTGTTACCAGACAAAATCCAAAACACAGCACTCCATCAGATACCGCAAAGAAAATCAGCTCTATCCCAGCTGAATCCAGGACAAAAGCCCCTATACAATCCTAGTATTTTTTCGTAATTACAGACTGGGAGGTTTAGGAGATGAGACGTGCTGAGGATGCATGAACATGATGGTATATTTTACGATATAAAGTCACCTATGGGATTTCAACGAACAGCATGAAAAACTTCACAGAAACGTTAACAGCAAAACCAGCACACGTGCCTCTTGTGCGGTGCTGAGGTACAGCAACTAACGATTATAGGAGTTATTAAATGTGTGCACCCTGTTGCTGTGCCATCGGTCCCCCTGGGGGGCTCTGTCAGCATCCGCCTCTCGAAGCCTGACTTCAGTCAAAGCTCCAACCTCCGTCACGCCCCGAGCCAGGACTTGGCCACCGTCCTTTGTACCTGTGCCAGGACCGATTCCTGCTGATCCCCGCCTGCCCCCGCGGAAACAGCTTCATCAGCGCCGCGGGGGATGGGCTCCGCCCGGCCTGTCCCGCAGTTTCGATTCCCGCGAGCGAGCCAGCACACGGAGGAGGGACAAGGAAGGTCACCATCGAACCCCAGCGCGCCCCAAGCCCGGCCCCACTCTCTCAGACGGGAGGGGTGGGTTCACGCATGTGTGACCCCACGTGTCACCCCCACGCCGGAAGCGCGGCGGCAAGATGGCGGCGCTCTTGGCGCGGCTGTGCCGGGGAGCTCCCGGCCTCCGTGCCGCCCGCCTGCCTCTCGCCGCCGCCGCTGCTGCTCCGCCTCTGCGCCGCCCCTTCGCGCCGCCGGGACCGCAGCGCACGCTCAGCTTTTCGGCGTCCGAGCTGGTGCGAGCCGCGCCGGTGCCGCTGCAGCCATACCTGCGCCTCATGCGGCTGCACCAGCCCGCCGGTGAGCGCGACGAGGCGCCGCCGTAGTGACGCGGTAACCGTGGCGACTCTGCCTCCCCCCGCGCCTCGTTCCAGGCTCCTCAGGCCACCCGCGGGTCTTCTCTCCCCTCAGGGACGTGGCTGCTGTACCTGCCGTGCACATGGAGCATCGGCTTGGCGGCAGAGCCGGGCTGCCTCCCCGACTGGCACATGCTGTCCCTGTTCGGCCTCGGGGCGGTGCTCATGCGCGGAGCCGGCTGCACGATCAACGACATGTGGGATCGCGACTATGACAGAAAGGTAGAGCGACCCCGTGGGCTTCACAAGAGCTCTGTGCAAAGTGCATGTCCGCTCATCTCCCACATCACCAGTGCTTAGCTGCTGAGTGTAGGCGTAGGGCTCCAGGTTCAGTAATTCCTCCGTTCTATCCGAGATGCGTGCAATTAATTAATTCGTCTGCATCTCCTCCTAGAATAGTAGAAATAGTTCCATTTTTGTATAACACTTCTCTGTCTAGGGCGGTAGTAAGTCTTCTAGAGCACTTCTGTGTAAGATAAAATACATGTGTTTGTCAGCTTGAAGTTTATTTTACAACACGGTTTTTACAACACAGTTTTGCATGACAGAAGAAAATAAATAACACCTTTTTTTTTTTTTTTTTTGCTACACTTGCTAGTTATGATCTACCCAAGAAACACTTTATTTGATTTTCAGGAGCCAGGTTTCCTTGAGTATTTGTAACTTGTTCATGAAAATGGCTGTTAAAAGAGTGTCATACCCAGCCCTGAGCTAATCCTCTTCCATTGTGTTGTATTTTTCATTTCCTTTTTGTTCAGAAGAGGGAAATGAGCAGAAGGCAGTGCCCGGTGTCAGATGTTGTAATGTCCACAGGTGGAGGCTTGGAGGGGAGTATCCTGGCGATGCGTCACTGTTTGCTTGTCCTGTTTGCTTCTATATTGTTCCTCTGGTGTGGGGCTTTGGATTTCGGTGCTGGTGAGAGACAGGAGAATGAGCCAGCCCGTGAAGTTGTTACAGCACTGGTGTATCTGTGCTGTAGGGAAGGCAGTGAATGAATCATTTCAGGTTTTGTGGCAGTTTTGGATGGTTTAGTGTTTGGAGATTACTAACGACTACGTATAATAAAAATATTTGCCAGGGTGGGGAGTGTGATTAGTAATAGGGACTTTTCAATATAATTAATTGATTTATGCCTTAATGTGATTAGATGTAAAGCTTTTGACATTCCTGTCACGGTATTACATATCTTAAAGGATATATTTAAAACAAGTGTGATAGGGGCTGGGTCAGTAGCAGGATGTTGTCTTGTGCTGGTGATAATGGGTTGGGGTTTTCCATTTTATGTTATGGATCATTTAGTAAGTATTTTCTTCTGTTTAAATGAAACATCCCATGTTTGGCTGCAATATGCAGTGAAATTGGTCACAGATATGTTAAGAGTGTGTTTAAACTGCAGCAGCAGAATTTGATGCTTAACCTACTCTGAAAAACTTTATTTAAATTCACATTATTAAAGCATGCGCAGAACACCTTATGCCTACAGAGTATTCTGTAAAAAGTTGGATTTTGAACCTCTTTGAATAGACTTTATGCCATTTTCGTCAACATGCAAGACATTTGGGTTCTGTGGGATTTTTTCCCTTTTGGCAGCAGTCACCTTTGGCAAATAACTCAGTTTAACTTGTTTCTGATATTTGTTTCTTCTTTTAGTTTACCTTTTATGATTTTTTATTCCAGACAGAGTTTCTAAGCTCCACTGTACCCAGACTAGGATTAAATTAATTGTCCTTTAACAGTCATCAACAATGGTTACATGTGTTAGAGGAACCCTGCATCTTTACACTGTTTTGTGTAGTAATCACTTTAAAGTGTTTGATCACAGAAGTGCTCCTTGAAATTGGGATAGTCAGCTCAGTTTTTAAGTCTGATTATTTTTTTCCTCTAAGGTACTAAAACTCATATACAAGATGTCTGCAGTGTTTCTAATCAGCCTTGTTACATAGAAATGACACTTTATTCCTGCTCTAGGTTTTAAAGCCTGCATGCTTCTAGTATAAGCACTGCTGCTTAGAAGTACAGCTCATGTCTGTGAAGATACACTGTTTGTAGCGTTGAAGTAACCTCATCTCATACATTCTGTGACCTGTTTCTGTTTATTTTTCTGCTATATGCCAATGGTGTGACTTTTAAGATCCATTGGAATGTGTTATGTTGGATTTGGTATTAACATTATTCTTTCTATTTTCAGGTGGCGAGGACGGCAAGCAGGCCCCTGGCAGCTGGAGATATCTCCACTTTCCAGTCCTTTGTTTTTCTTGGCGGACAACTAAGCTTGGCGCTTTGTGTGCTTCTGTGTCTGAATTACTATAGGTGACATACAAGTTATGTTTTGCTTTTTAAAATTTGATTCTAGGTCTACTGTCAGGCACAGAGATTTTCAGCAGGAAAGTCCCTGGGGGCAGGGGAAGGAGGTTATTAGTTGTGGAGTTGCATTTCAAAGTAGAAGAATTAGTTCAGTAATCTTTACCTCTCCTGTGTAATGCCACACTGCGTCTTTAGGCTGGCAAACAATAAACCTCATGGTATGTTTTACAGTATCGCTCTGGGAGCAGCCTCTTTATCTCTTGTGGTCACCTACCCTCTGATGAAGAGAATAACATATTGGCCACAGTTAGTTTTGGGTGAGCTGGAAATATTTTTGCTAATTTTTTCTTTGGGTTGAGCTTTTGGGGTGTTTTACAAATTAGCAATTGAACTTGAGCCATCTGATTTTGTATAACTTTATATGAAAATAAAAATACCTTATAGATGAAATTCTGTTGTGTCAGAAGCTTCTTAAGCAATTTATAACACATGTAAGACTTGATGTTTGGGTTAGGGTTTTTGGTTAAAAATCAGTTCCTTAATTTAATGGAGTGAGGGGAGGGGGAAAAGGAGGGAGAAAATAAATATTTGACGTTTGAGGATCAGCTTTAGTTTTGGGCTTATCTCAGAATCTGTCTTACACATGCATTTGTTCTACATTTCAGTCTTCAGCCTCTAAAATGATTCCTGTGCAGAAACTGATGGTGCTTGTATTTCAGGTTGAGCTACTAAAATGTGTCTTTGAATCTTGGCCTTCACATTCCAGCTGTGTGAATCCAGGGCACAGCCACCTTCTTTCTCAAGCTTTCTCAACCAAAATTGTCATTTTCAGCCTTGAAGTACCATAGTTGGCTTCTGTGCAGTCAGTTGCACTAACATCTTTTGTTATACTGACATTTAAGTTTTGTAACTTTAGACCTGTTGTATGGGTATGCTGGAATAGTTTTGTACAAATATTTCCCTGTGCTAATGAAGTAAAATTTATACTGGGGGAAAATGTATGGCTGTATGTATTTCTCCTGGTACCTCCAGAGTATTTAATGTCAAATACTTGTATTTATTACCTTCCTGAAAATAAGTGGTAGAAAAATAGAGATGTTGGTAATGTACAAAAAGCTACTGATATGATATATGCTGGAACAAATAGTAGTGGATTATGTACATGCGATATAGATAACTACTGGCAATCTTGTAACTTTTTTTTCTTTTACTCTATGTTTTTAGGACTTACATTTAACTGGGGAGCCCTTCTTGGCTGGTCTGCCATCAGAGGGTCATGTGAATGGTCTGTGTGTTTGCCCTTGTACTTAGCTGGAGTAATGTGGACTCTGGTATACGATACCATTTATGCACACCAGGTAGAGTAGCAGTGGGAAATTTTAGATATCACTGCGTATTTGTGTGTTTAATTTACAGCTTTTTTGTCAAACAGCAGTGTTAACATGTTGCAGTGCTTCACCCTCAGCTGAGCTAAAAGTGTACCAAAGAAACCCCAGCCCTCAGACCTTTTATTGCTGCTTGCAAATGTTTTATATATCAGGTGGAAAGCTGGAAGTATAGTGCACTTCGTGTGCTTATGTATTTGCATTGTATAAATAACTTCAGTGTTGGTATTAGCTCTTGGCCGCTAAAGCAGATCTAATGACCAACCTTCTAATTTCAATTTTAATGTAGGGACCTACAAATGAACTTAAATTGGGCTCCTAATAAGAAGCGTTGGAAATTTAAGCAAGGCCCCTCTTTTTATTTACCTTATGAAGTGGTGGTTGGGTTGTGATTGTTTTTTCTTTTCTGATTCATCATTTCATTCTAGGATAAGAGAGATGACATCGTGATCGGTGTGAAGTCAACAGCATTACAGTTCAAGGAAGATACGAAGCACTGGCTCAGTGGCTTCAGCCTTGCAATGCTCTTGAGTTTATGCATGGCAGGAATGAACTGTAACCAGACATTCCCATATTACTCGGCTGTGGCTGCTGTAGGGGCTCACCTAGCACATCAGGTTTGATGGATTTCATAATTTTTCCATGTGGAAGTTCTTGATAAGTGCTTTTGAACTCCCATCAGTTTGCCAACTACAAAGAGTCTCTTTATAGAGAACTTAAGTCTTCTGACAATAAGCTTACTTCACTTAAATACCTCTTGCAGACCTTTTGTTTAAAGAGACCTCCACTGGTCCACAGACTGTAGAGCACTAGTTTTCAGTCTGTTCCTAACCAAACACTCTGCCTCAGGTTAAGCTGTCATCTCAAGGGAATGGTTTTCTTTTTGTTTCCAGTAGCAGCTGCAAGTTAGATCTACCTCAGTATCTGCTGCACAATCATTTACCATTTGATTTGTCAGAGAGGCCTTACATTGTAATTTCAGCACAAATGGAAATTAACTTTTCTTCAGGTAGGGTTTCTGTAAGTGAGAATGCAGAATGTAGGTGGTGAAATGTGCACAATTGTGTGGATTTCCAAGAGCACATGGTTCTGTGTACCACGGAGTAGCTTCCTTTTTGAATGATTATTTTTGGTTCTGCCAAACATCCTCATGCTTACCTTCATGTTGTAGATTTCTGAATGTGTTCTTAATTAGCTGAGTTTAGAAAGCTGAGTATGCTGCATGAGGGGTAAGTTTTACCTAATTCATTGAATTTTTGCCTGAGACAGGGGAGTTTGGGTCATGAAGATGACAAATTTCTATCCCACCCAAGAAGTTAACTGATAAAAAAATAACATCTTTTATTTACTTTGCATTTCTGAAGGTATACCTCGTGGTTTGGCTGCTCTTGGGTTTCATTTGTCAGTTCAGTGTTTTCAGTTCCCTGTGCTTGAGGGGCTGACAGGTTCTCAAGGGTGTGGACAACATCCTGTCTTAGAAGCTTGTGGCACCGTTTCAGATTATTTGATCAGAACCCAGACCTGTCACCTCTGTATGACTACACATGGCAGAGGAGCAGGTTTTCCAAGGAAGATTCCACTTCTTTGTGTCAAATACATTCTAATTTTATTTCTTTGAGTCCAATACATTCTGGTTTTACTTCTCTAGAGGCTGAGTTGCAAGTTTCGAGGTTTTCGGGGGTACTTTTCCACTAACCCTTTCATTTATTTTGCTTAACACTTCTTGTCATCCTTCTCAAGACTTTTTCACCAAGTTTTGTTTCCAGGAATACTTTTCAGTAACTTTGCTCTGGCTGCATTGTGTGGGTTGGTTTTTCACCTTTAGCTATGTCTCACAGCACACAACTACCAAGCTGGGCAGGCCTTGCTTCTAGATGTTGTTGCAGGTGTCCTGGTTTTATTTGTAAGAGAGCTGAATGGACGTACCTAAGAGGGACTGGATTGAACCAGCCGTGTGTGACTAGGCAGGGCTGAGCACCTTCTTGTGCATTCCAGTTAGCTTGGGTCACTGCTGGCTCTCCAGTGGCTTGTCTTTACTGGAACATAGAGCAACACCTAACAGCAGAGATTTAAAGCTGCAGGCAGATTTTGGCAGGCTTAATTTTGTTTAGAGTTCCCATTGAAGAATTAGTTGGCTACCTACAGAGGAAAATCTCAAAAAGACTTACTTACATGCTCTCCTGGTTTCAGCTGCGATAGAGTTAATTTTCTGTGCTGTGTTTTCGTTTCAGTCTGAGAATAATGTTGATAACACACCAGTTATTTAGTTTTTGCTGAGTAGTGTTTATACTAAGTCAAGGACTTGAAGTTTCCCATGCTGTGCCAGTAAGGGGGGGCACAAGAAGCCGAGAGGGAGCATAGACAGGACAGCTGAACATCATGCTCAGTGTATAAACTGGAGGTAGTTGGCAAGTAGGGACTGATTGCTACTCAGGGATGGGCTGGGCATCCATTTGTCAGCCAATGTTGCACAGTTGTATTGTGTATCACTTGGGCTTTTTTGTTTGTTTGTTATGTTCTTCTCTCTATTTCATTTTATTATTGTTGTTGCTGTTGTCATTATTATAATAATGTTTCTATTTCCGTTATTAAACCGCTCTCAACCTCCAGGGAGAGTGAGTGAGTGGCTGTGTGGTACTTAGTTGCTGACTGGGCTTAAACCACAACACATGCCCAGATATTTTTACACTTTTTACTGTCAAACCAAACACACCAGGCTGTTTATACAGTCCTTCATGCAGAGGGTCTGGGAATCGTGTCCTTATGTGATCCTTGACTTTCCTGCTCTATGTTGAATAAATTTGTGAAGTAAACATAGATGCCAGTTCTGCAGATAATCATTTAAGCATAGTGTATTCCTGTTTCTTGTGGAGCAAAAGGTAGACTTTAGAATTTGAGATTCAGTTTTTGAAGTTACAGACTTTACTGTGTCTTGTGATATGTCAAACGTTTATAAATCTGTAGACTAATGCTAGAATGTTACACTGTGCTTTTTCAGATTTACACTTTGGACATAGACAAACCTGAAGACTGTTGGAAGAAATTTGCTTCAAATCGTACTGTTGGAGTTCTGCTCTTCATAGGCATTGTGCTTGGAAATCTGTGGAAACAAAAAGACTTAAAAAATGGAAAAGAAAACAGGTAGTTGAAATTACTATAAATAGTTCAGCTGAAATGAAAGTACTGTAAGAAATAACTTATAACTGTAGCTACTTTATACTGTTTATTTATAAAAGCTGGTGAAAACATTCTTGTTTCTAAAAACATGCAAATGAGGTTATCCTACAGTGTAAGTTTTAATCATACTTAAATGACTTCAACCTCCATAGAAGCTTCAACAAGTGAAGCTGCTCTGCTGGTCCTGTGCAGTACAGGCAAACTTCTGTCAAGCTCTCAAGACTGCGAGCCCAGGATTTTACATGAAACAAATATCTCTTAGTGACAGCACGTGGCAAAAAGCAGATGTAAATAAAATCTGTCTGTACGTGTTTGGTGTTCTGGTTTCTATTAATTGAGTTTTGATACATTTTGAGTTGGAGGTTTTTGCATGAAAGAACTGCAATAAAAACTTTTATCCTGACATGTCTAGAAGCAGTCAGGACTCGGTGTGAGGTCCAGAATACAAAGTCAAAGGAGAAGTATTTAAAATTACCTTCTGCTCTTGCTGTAATTGCTGGCAGTGATTCTTTTTCATGTGCAAAGAACAGGCTTCTGCAAAGTTTCCTGCACAGAATGAGCTGAGCTCATTTATCAAGAACGGTTTGAACACAGATTTCTGACTTGAAAACAGAGCAGCCCAGAGCTGTTGCCAAGTGTGCGTGACTGGTGGCTTACCCTGACTTACAAGTTCCTCATGCAAAGTGATCCTTTTTATTTTGAGTTTTTAGTTGTATTCATTTTGACTTATGCCTGTTGGTTTTATTTGTAGTCTTACAGGAAGAAGTTCCTTATGGGAGGATGCCTATAAACAATAAAAATAGCAACTGCAGGCTAACAGATACATTGCTTCAAACCACTCAGGTAGTGAGGTGGACTGTGAACTGGCTGAAGGAGAGAAGCCAGAGAGTTGTAGTCTATGGGGCAGAGTCTACTTGGAGGCCTGTATCTAGTGGAGTGCCTCAAGGGTCGGTACTGGGACCAGTATTATTTAATATATTCATCAATGATTTAGATGAGGGAATTGAGTGTACTATCAGCAAGTTTGCTGATGACACTAAGCTGGGAGGAGTGGCCGACACGCCAGAAGGCTGTGCTGCCATCCAGCGAGACCTGGACAGGCTGGAGAGCTGGGCGGGGAATAACTTGATGAAATATAACAAGGGAAAGTGTAGAGTCCTGCATCTGGGCAGGAACAACCCCAGGTTCCAGTATAGGCTGGGGAACGACCTGTTAGAGAGCAGTGTAGGGGAGAGGGACCTGGGGGTCCTAGTGGACAACAGGGTGACCATGAGCCGACACTGTGCCCTTGTGGCCAAGAAGGCCAATGGCATCCTGGGGTGTATTAGAAGGGGGGTGGTTAGTAGGTCGAGAGAGGTCCTCCTTCCCCTCTACTCTGCCCTGGTGAGACCGCATCTGGAAGATTGTGTCCAGTTCTGGGCCCCTCAGTTCAAGAAGGACAGGGACCTGCTGGAGAGAGTCCAGCGCAGGGCAGCTAAGATGATTAAGGGAGTGGAGCATCTCCCTTATGAGGAAAGACTGAGGGAGCTGGGTCTCTATAGTTTGGAGGAGATTGAGGGGTGACCTTATTAGTATGTATAAATATATAAAGGGGGAATGGAGCCAGGCTCTTCTCAGTGGCAAACAGTGACAGGACAAGGGGCAATGGGTACAAACTGGAACACAAGAGGTTCCACTTAAACCTGAGAAGAAACTTCTTCTCAGTGAGGGTGACGGAACACTGGAACAGGCTGCCCAGGGGGGTTGTGGAATCTCCTTCTCTGGAGACATTCAAAACCCGCCTGGACACATTCCTGCGTAACCTTATCTAGGTGTTCCTGCTCTGGCAGGGGGATTGGACTAGATGATCTTTTGAGGTCGCTTCCAATCTCTAGCATACTGTGATACGTGAAAATGTTAGGAAGCATAACTGTTTTTAGGGCCTCCTTGGTCCTCACACAGAAATTCTTAAATAGAATTTATGATTTTGGGTTGGAGGAAGTATTACATTGAAAAAAAGCAGATCAAAAATTAGGAATAATAAGTTTCTGAGCAATTATGAGTTGCATTTTGTAGAGGGAGAATTGGATGCATCCAGCTTTGTGGTGAACTTCGGTTATAAGGCATTTACTTGTAGTAAAATTTTTGTGATGTAATTAGTATAGATTGGTTTCTTAATACTTGTAACATTACCTTGGAGAGGTTGTGGCAAATGTTATTAATCTGTTTTTAACATGTTAAAGTGTCTCTAAGTAGCTCAGATTTGGGATTTTTGGAGTGCTTTGGACCTAGCGGTGCCCTTTGTCTGATGGTAATGTGCCAAAAGCGTTTGTCTTGTAATGAGAGGGAGTAGGAGGTGTAGCTAAATAGAGTAAAAAATCAAGTTATAAAAACAGTCTTCATGTCCTGAACATTAACATCATTGCATGTTTTCTGTGGGGTTTTCCAAATCCATCTCAAAATGTGTCTTAAAAAGATAAGCCATAGCTGTATGTTAGGTTCATAGCATGAGAAGTGGAGAACGGTTTAGATCTAGGTTATAATAGTGTTGTTTATGTGAGCAATTTATCATTTGTACACAGAAAAATGGAATCACTTTTTAAATGCAAAATAGACAAAGACCGAACTACTTCCTGGATAAAACCCTGTTTGTATCTGCTGACAGGTATATGTACGTATCTTCTCCTTCCATTCCCAAGCTGTTCTATTCCAAAACTTCACAAAGACACTCTCTGCTGTATTTAGATACTGTCTATTAAACAAATCTCAAATACACATTTCTAAGCAGGACTTTCCTTATTACCTAGTGTGCTTTTGCACAGATAAGCATTGTCCTCTGGAAGTTCCTACTCCCTTTTCCAAGTGTTCCTCTGCAGGACCTTGAGATAATAAATGTTTTTGGTGGTAGCAGGAAGGTCAAATGTGCTTTGCAAAGACAAAAGCGCTGGCAGTTGCTCAGTGAGACAGAAGACTCTGTAACCAACATAAACGCTTGCCTTTGTGTGCTCCTATTGTACTTTGTAGAGAAGTGTATCAAAGCAACACCAGCTCTTTGTGCAGGAGTAGTAGTACACAGTAGGGTGCTAGCTCCTGTGGGATATGGGCAAGGGTTGCCAAGGCATCAGCAGCCCTTTGTGGTGGGGCTGCGTCAGCACACGGGAGCTTTCACACTCACTCAGGGGCAGAGACCTGCTATAGGGTCATCCAAGGTGAAAAATGCTTGAATTTTGCTTGTTTGCTGTATGTGCTTGTGAGGTGGGCTGATGCCAACCTTGTGAAGTTTAACCGTGCCAAGTGCAAGGTCCTACACCTGGGTCAGAGCAATCCCAGGCACAGCTACAGGCTGGGCAGAGAAGAGATTCAGAGCAGCCCTGCGGAGAAGGACTTGGGGGTGTTGGTGAATGAGAAAATGAACATGAGCTGGCCTCAGTGTCTGCTCGCAGCCCAGAAACCAACCGTATCCTGGGCTGCATCAAGAGGAGCATGAGCAGCAGGTCAAAGGAGGTGATCCTGCCCCTCTACTCTGCTCTTGTGAGACCTCACCTGGAGTATTGTGTGCAGTTCTGGTGTCTTCAACATCAAAAGGACATGGAGCTGTTGGAACAAGTCCAGAGGAGGGCCACAAGGATGATCAGGGGACTGGAGCACCTCCTGTAGGAGAACAGGCTGAGAAAGTTGGGGCTGTTCAGCCTGGAGAAGAGAAGGCTGCGTGGAGACCTCATAGCAGCCTTCCAGTATCTGAAGGGGGCCTATAAGGATGCTGGGGATGGACTCTTCATTAGGGACTGTAGTGATAGGACAAGGGGTAACGGGTTCAAGCTTAAACAGGGGAAGTTTAGATTGGATATAAGGAGGAAGTTCTTTACTGTGGGGGTTGTGAGGCACTGATATGGGTTGCCCACGAAGGTTGTGAATGCTCCATCCCTGGCAGTGCTGAAGACCAGGTTGGACAACACCTTAGGTGATATGGTTTAGTGTGAGGTGTCCCTGCCCATGGCAGGAGGTTGGAACCTTATTATCTTAAGGTCCTTTCCAACCCTAACTATTCTATGATACTATTTTTTTGTGTTTCTTAGCAAAATCCAGGAAAAAGTTCTTCCCTATGAAGGTGATGAGGCACTGGCACAGGTTGCCAAGGGAAGCTGTGTTTGCCCCATCGCTGGCAGTGTTCATGGCCAGGTTGGATGGGGCAATCTGGTCTACTGTGAGGTGTCCCTGTCTGTGGCAGTGGATTGGAACTGAATGAGCTCTAAGGTATTTTCCAGCCCAAACTGTTCTGTGATTCTATGGTTGATTCTTGGTAAATACATTATCATTAATGCAAGGAGGTCAGATTTTTCCATCCCTCTGATTTCAGGAAAGTATGCACTGCAGGCACCTGCAGACCCAGTTCAGGAGCTGTGGTGTGCAAACAGCACAGACCCAGGACATGGCACACCCAGTGTGTCTGGAAGGCAGTGGAGCCACTGCAAGTCACCAGGTCTGTAGGTCACTCATATCGTGGCATGGGAACAAGAAGAAGGCTAGACTCAAAAGTCAGAAAGGTGTGCCAGCATGTGGAAGGATCAGAGCATCCTGTGGGCTGAAGTCACTAAAAACATGGCTGAAAACTAAGGTAACCCTTCACCTGTAGCAGCATGGCATTGTGGTTAGCCAGTATGCAAGGAAGATGCTGAATGCACAGCCTGATGTGAAGAAGAGCTGATGTGACAAACCAGTCCTTCAGAAGTGGGAGAATGTATGTTGTGGGTGCTTCTTTGTTTCCTCCTTTTGGTGAAAACAGGGAAAGAGCTATTCTTCTTTCTGAACACACCACAGTGCAAATACCACAGAAAGAAGAACTGTTCCAAACCGCTTGAAAGCAAGAAAAATGTGGATGTTAACCAGCCACAGATAATGTGACATTCTGATACTAGCTGAAGGCTATTGGTATGAAGGTGCTAGCTCCTGGCATACTGGAGAGGCGAGTTTCCTGCAGTGCAGTGCCTCCCTGTAGTTTGTGATGGAGGCAAAAGGCCAGAGCAAATTTTGGCACAGTGTGTGCCAGATACAGTGCCAGAATTACAAAGGAAATGACAAAAAATCTTGTTTGCACTTCTCCTGAATTGTGGTGGTTAAAAATCACCACCCTTCTACCCCCAGCCAGGCAGCTGTACCCCTTGTGGTAGCTGTGCCCATTGTGGTTTTGCTTGAGCTAAGCAGGAAGAGGTCTAATACAACTGAAAACTGAAAACTGCCAACCAGAAACAGTCTTCAAATGCTGGTTCAAAACTTCTATAAATGCAGCTTTAGTTTCTGGAAGACCAAGCAGAAAATCCCTGCCCTAATGAAATGAACAACCAAA